AAGATATTATAAATATATCTACGAAAGTAGCGTACCTTTAACGAAATAGGGTGAACACATCTCATATACTTGATTTATTGGTAGTCTCTAAAACCTACTCAATAACTAAAGAAGTAATGTCGTCGATTGCTATTACAAATATAAGTTTGCATTATCGACAATCCCAACACAGAATGTTAGATAGAAAATACCTGACCTTCCTTCAAATTCACATCTGCCCTCTGACTCAAGGGCACTCGTGGCAGTGGCAGGATGGTTAACGTATCGAGCTTACACGCTGCACTTTCATGGTTCGATTCCTTATGGGATGTTGAAAAGACTTCAGCGAGGTCAAAACAGCAGTCCACCCTGGATAAAAACAACTTTTGAGAAGGCAAGGCTATGTGAAATTCAATGGAGACAACAGCTCCAGTCATATCATTGTAGGAAAATTCAATTACCAGTCCTTCATCACCTTAAGCGAAATAAGGTGAACAGATCTCATATACCTTTAATAAGTCATCTTACTTAGCTAAAGATGATGTAGGATCGATAGATGAAGGTCCGGCAACGAAAAAAAGGCCTTTTAAGAATTGATAAGTTCCGAAGCCTACCTACTATTTATATAAAAATGTCGTCGAATAAGTTGACAAATACACGTTTACTTTACAATAAACTGCAGATTAAGAAAGGTCTAGCTTGCCTCTCACATTTGCCTTGTAAGTACCTCCCAGGGCTTTGTGGTAAATTTTCTACTGCCTTATGAGTACAAATCATTTTTAGTGTCGCTGATGGTACTGAAGAGACCCAAGGGAGATTGCAACTACAGTTCAGTCAGGATGAGAAAGCTTCTTAGAGGGGAATTCCAAGTAAAATTAAATGGCATCATGAGGCCATTGTAGAAATCCGACTATTAATACTGAATTACCTGACTTAATGAATCATATATGCTTAAGAAAATTCCTCACAGACTAGCAAAAAATGTGATAGTTAAGAATGAATTTGGGATCAGTGATTGGTAGATTTCAGCTAAAATTAATGGGATAATAAGGCTCCATTTTAAAAGCAATTTATTTTTTTGACAAGTTATAGTTAGCTCTGCAGTATGCCATACCTTCATACCCGTAAAAGAGAAAATTTTTGTTTATAAACTAATGCCATCAGCATTTCATTGCAAATTTAATAGGGTGTTTCACAAAAAATATTTAAAAGTTCTAGATTAAAAGTCATATGATGGCATTAAATAAGTGAAATGTAGCCCAGTAAATCCCTCTACCTTTTTGGAAGAAGCGGCGTCGAACTGCCTCCAGGTATCACGGCTAAAAGGTTGTCCCATCCTCCTATCACACCACCAGAGTGACGTTCTATAAGGTCGCGGAGAGGAATTGACATTTCTTCTTCTACAGTGCAAGGGTTGTTCACATGACCTAGTAAAATAAGCAGTAAAAAGGACAGAAGATAAAGTTCGAAGTTCTTCCAACAATTAAGCAGCAGAGAAAATCTAAAGATCCACTTTTTTGTAGCATTGTATAAACTTAAAGTATGTTTTCTTATTTTGAGCTGTGAAAACAAAAACTATGAACGTATTCAGCAAAGTAATAAAATAAGGATCCTGCCTGAACACAAGCTTAGTACCAGATATATTGAAAAGTTTAGTGCCCTTGTTGCGTTCACGACCAAACGAGGCGAACCATTCGCCCCCACGTCGACAGATACTCGGCGAGACAGCAACAGTCTCTACATTTGTCACAGTCGTAGGGCAGCCAAAGA